CACACACACACACACACACACACACACACACACAACATGTTAGACCATGGACAGCCAGGTTTTAAATTTTCCAAAAAAAATTTTCAGGATTTAAATACGCAGGTGTGCAATATGGCAAAGAATGCTGGTGTGGTAATGAGTATGGTAAATATGGCCAACTCCATGAAGCCTCCTGCAGTAGCAAGTGTCCAGGGGAGAGTGGAGCTCTGTGTGGAGGGTACAAGGCACAGAATATTTACCACACGGGGCTGGGAGGTATTTGTATAGATTGTAAAGGCAGACATTTCTCAATTTTTTGTGTTATTAAAGTAATGTATAGATTGTGAAGGCAGAGATTTCTTTATTTTTAATGTTATTAGAACATAAATTTGAAGGATCATTCTGTGTTATAAAAGTCTCATGATGGACTGTGGATTCACCAAAATGCGTTAATATGGATTTAAACCATTTGGCCAAACGCTGTCAGTCTGTTTCCATATTAGGAATAAGAAGATAGAAAAATAAAATTTGTATTTTATCAACTGGAAAATTGTATTTCAGAAAAGCCCAATAATGCTGTCCATCTGGTCAGCTCTTTATCAGAAGAGTTTCCAAAGAATGCAGTGAGAATTGCTTTTATCTTGACTCTCAATGGTAGATCACTTAGGCAGACCAAAAGGCTTTTTAAGGCATTGTTTCATGTCAACCACTATTACTACATCCATGTTGATTCAGTAAGTATTTGTAAGTATGGTAAAAGTACGTATCAAGATTAATTGAGAAGAATTTGCTGACTTTGCTTATATTATTATGGGGACTACAGTGTTGGATTTTGAAATCTGAAAAGTATTATGGAAAAAACTTGATGTAGTATTGACAAGAGCTTCAAACAATTTTTAGGTCTAAATGCATTTTGTGAATAATTTCTAGATTTGCATCTATCTTAGAGTCTTTTGTTATCTTACCCTTAGCGTCAAGAGTATCTTTATAGAGAACTTGTGAACCAATTGGCCAGATTCCCCAATGTCCGTTTCGCTCCAGTCCGTATGTCCACAATTTGGGGTGGAGCCAGTCTTCTACAGATGCTTCTTACTTGTATTAAAGATTTATTAGCCATGAAAGATTGGAACTGGCACTTTGTTCTCAATTTAAGTGAATCAGACTACCCTGTCAAGTAAGTGCTATTGGAAGAATCTTCTTGGTATTTGTTGATTATTCACCTTTTTATATTAAGTTTGATGAAACTTATTTTTTGCTCTCTACTGTCAGTTAATGATTTTTACTGCTGTGTGGTATTGTGGTTTTTATTTATTAATGTGTTTATCTATTTTTCAGAACCATTTGGGATTTAACCAACTTCCTTACAATGTACAGACACAAAAATTTTCTCAAATCACATGGCAGAGATACCCCAAGGTAAGAACCTCTTTTTTCTGTCTTAATTTGGCATATTGAAATATGAACTGTTGATATTAGAAATGGGGTATTATATTATGTCAGGATATTACTGTTATGTTTTGGTGTAATACTAGCCTGTTTCTTTAAAGTATCAAACGGATATATAAATCCTATCCTGAAAATGAAAAATGAAAACGCATTCAAAGGATTCAATGTGAAATTTGATCAGACAGAGTGACACTCTTTGTCATCTCTCACCTTTGCCTATTTGTAAAGCCTCTGTAAGTAAATGTTACATGCCATCTAATGCAGACTAGATCAAAGTTTTGCCCATTCATCCTTAACTTATTATTAATATTATAATAGATATCTTTCATATTTCTTGTATGACCATGTGGGTTATTTGATTTTGACTCTTTATGTTATTTTCAGATTTATAAAGAAGCAGGGTCTAGACAGGACATTCTATGAGTGTGACACTCATATGTGGCGTCTTGGGACCCGTAGCCTTCCAGATGGCATTAGGATAGATGGCGGTAGTGACTGGATTGCCTTAAGTCGTCCATTTGCCTCTTATGTTGTTCATGGGGATGATGCCCTCCTTGATGGGTTAAAAACAATGTACAGATACACACTTTTGCCTGCTGAGGTATAATGATAATCCTGAAACTTTGTGTATTGATTTAGAAATGTGTGACTTTGTCCCACTTATGCTCATAAGTTTTAACATTACTTCAAGACACAAAACACCTGATACTGCTAATTCATAATTTTTCTGGTAATGATATAAAGAAATTTCCAATTTTCTATTTTGATTAATTTGTTTATTTTTAAGGAATCTACTTAGAAGATGTGTTTATAAAAATAGCATACAATACATTTATATCTCAAATTTCATAATGTTATATATATGTTTTTAAATATTTTTTCAGAAATTAAATTATTTCTGTTTGTAAGTTAAGAAATTTGACATTGATATTATCAAAGAATTTATTAAAAACTTTATTGAAGAACTGTTTTGGCTGACAAGTGTCATCCTTAAATTAATTGTGAGACTCTCTCCAAAGTATTTATGGCTTATGGCTTATTTTCCTCTACAGTCCTTCTTCCACACAGTTATCCAGAACAGTAAATTCTGCACTACATTTGTGGACAACAATCTTCACCTTACAAATTGGCGCCGTAAGCAAGGCTGCAAGTGCCAGTACAAGCATATCGTTGACTGGTGTGGATGTTCCCCAAATGACTTCAAACAAGAGGATCTCTCAAGATTACTGGTAAGAATGTGGTTTTCAAAAATCGCTTTTTTTTTTTAATACTTGTTTGTCTTTGGGTAAAAACATTTGGGTATTACTAGATCTACGACACATCATATGGAGTGTATATTCAAATATAGCACATTGAATATTATACACATGGCAAATAGGTAAGAATAAACTTTTTGTTCACATAGGGAACTGCAGAAAAAGTCACATTTTTTGCACGGAAATTTGAAGCCATTGTGGACCAAACTGTGATAAACAAACTGGATGCTGTTTTATATGGAGACTATCCGAAAGGTAGCTATAAAATTTCACATTATCAGATTTGTATGGCATATTGATCCCCATCATGATAAATTATTAAATTTCAGGTTGTTCCCATCATTAATAACTTATAAGTTTATTATAGAAATGCACAATATTAATTATGCCATGTTTTTCACACAGGAATGCCTGGGCTAGACCTGTACTGGCAGCATGACTTTCACCACGAAGACATCAACACCAAAACGGATGACGCATACTTCACTTTCTACCACTCATTTAGTAGACAGACGGCCGATAGGCTGGAAACATTAAATCGTTGCAGTATTACACCTGATGAAATCAGAGAAGTAACTTTGTTTTCTGAATCAGATACAATGTCTGGGATATTGGTTCTTTTTTCTGCTGTTGTTGAGGGAAGGCGGTATCAAATCGAGACTTACATGAAACCCAAACACAAACCAACTAAAATCCACAGTGTTATAGGACCTGCTGGAAGACTGGTTTCTTTGCAGGTAAGTGAATATTTTACATACTGGAAGGAAGCATCAATTATTTTATGATAATTTACATTGAATTTGGTGTTTGTTTATACTGTTGTTTTAAAAGCTACTCTCATATGAAATTGTTTGACAAATAGTTTTTAACTTGCATGTGTATTTTTTCAGGTCGGCACAAATTTTGACCCCAAAGAACTTGTGTTTCGAAATTTTGGCAACTTTCTGGGACCCTACAGTGACATTAGTTTACGACATGAGTGGGGACAAGGCAAGGAATTTGATGTTACAGTTGTTTGGGTTGATCCAGCTGGTGTGATAGCTGGGTCTTTTGAAGAAACAGTGAATCAGGGAGTATATGTAGGTGCTCATAAACCACAGTTCCAAAATCCTCTCAGACCAGGAAGATGGACAGTTAGATTATTGACAGATTGGCATTTAATGGCAGAGCAGGAATTTTTTATCTTGCCACTGTCACATATCAACAAGAGAAAGATCACAAAAGATGAGGCTTTGGCTGCCCACAAGGGTCCAGAAGGATTTTACAAAGAGAAAGATTTTTCAGATCTACAGAGTGTGATTTTAGTCACTGACAAGAAGGCGGAATGTGAGAAAAATGGTCAGAAATTTGGCAAGGATCTGTTTGACTGGATTGACACGCTGAGTGCACAATTATGGTGGATTGAAGAAACGTGCGTGGTTGAATCATCAACTTCTTTCCCATGTGGAGATTTAAGAATCTGTGCAGACACAGACTGGAGTTCCAGAGCTCCAGATCCCAAATCAGAAATAGGTTCAGTTGATCCCCGTACAGGAAGGATAGAGAGATGACATAGTTAATATTAATTGTCAATGTCTAATTCTTATGGTTGTTCTAGTTTCCGTTTCCGTAAGTAATCATGGTGGTCAGTGGTGCGTTTTAAAGTCTTTTTCCTGCAATTTATGCAATGATGCACAAAGGTGCGCCTGTTTCCTTGCTGTAACTGCTATATGTTATTGAGGTATATTATTGTCTCATTTCTCTCAAATGTACGTAATGACATTTTTACATCATGCCCTTTACACATATTTGAGCTTTGCTGTCTAATTTATTTATGCTATGCAATTATAAAGGAGTGAACAGTATAAACATTGTCATTGCCAGGGTATGTTTTATGAGTATATATAATATATATATATTTATTGTGCTCTATAACAATTCCAAAATATTTTCCCCGTTTTAAACATCTCCACTTCCAAACAATTTGTCTCTTAAGGTGCTCCTCCACTTGAAAGTACATGTAACTGTCCCTAGTTTTTTCTTGCAAGCTTCTCCCAAGAGAAAACTGGGAGACTCCATTCCGTTTGTGGGTAACATTTGCCAAGAGCTACTCTCGAAGCTGAAATTGCACATTTGCAAGAGACTTTATGACAAAGACTGTGAGCTACCTTTTCACTTGAGATGGAAATTGCTGTAAATTTATACAGAAATCCTCAGCTGCCCATATACTGGAAAGGGGTGCTGTGACGTTTTCTTGCTCCCCTTGGAAGCAAAAGCAGGTCTCTGCAGGTATGTTGTATACATGCTTTTGAAAGAGAAAATATAAAGAGGAAACAGAATCTGAGTGTCAAAGGGGATGCAGAGGCAAGAAAGATTTATCATTGAAATTGGAGAATTCCCAAGTGCAAGTTATATATTTCCTTTTAAACTATGAATTATTAAATTTTTTAGTGTCCCATGTCTACAAGTGAAAGGCAACAGATTATAAAGTAAGTTGACGATAAAGAATTATTTCTCACTGCATTGGTGCGAGAACGTGTGAACGTGTTGCCTGGGCTAAATTTGAGAGTGATTGAACACAAAAAAAACTCAAGTGGAGGAGTGCAATTTCTGTTTTTTTATTCTCAAGAGAGTTTATAGAAGGTGCAATTCTTTTTATTTATCTTTTATATTAACTTTTTTTATATACTACAAAGAGCTGAAAATATTTGGTTGAAAAGAAAAGATGTAACACTTGGGGAAAATGCTCTGGAATTTTTTTCTATAACCACTAAAGTATGTTCAAAGAAAGACAATCCATGTCAAGCTTTTCATAATTGGGTATTTTTTCTTTTATTAATTAGGAATAATGTTCAAATATCTTTATTGAAAAACAAACTTTTGAATTACTATTTTAGGAAAATGAAAAGCTATAATACTTACTCAGGTTTTGGTCCCTGAAAAAACTTACATTCAGCCTAATTTCACTCTAAATTTCATTGTTCTGCCAGTGATTCTTACCAAATATAACACAGTATTTTGAGGAAAAGGCATGTGGCAAAATGCATGTAGGTCATATATTAAAGGTGCACAGTGTAGGATTTTCCAGCAGAAAACTCGTACTTATCAAAGTTTCCTTTGGTAAACAGTATTTTTTTTTTTTCTTTTTTTTTTTTTTTTTTAGCTAACCAACCTTTGATCCTCCTTTTTCTGTCACTGGCCAACACTATTACCACCTGGAAAAAGTTCTTAACCCATGCTTAAGTGATGATGTTGCAAATTCTGATCTCCCTTTGAGTTCAATTCTGGCATTGACTTCTGGATCCTTCTTGAATTAAAGCTGTCAAGATGGTTGTTGGGCAGCAGTGTTGATCAGGAGGGGAGTAATTTTTTTCCAACATTAATTCATATCATTTACCAGTTAGAATTGAGTCAAAAAGTAATGTCATTGTTGGAATTATACTAATCGTGGGTTAATTTAAAATCCTAAACTTTGTCACTTAAACATGGCTTAATTGGGTGAAATTACTATATAATTTGTTAAAACATCACTGTCACAGTGGAAGAAATGAAGTCTAAATTATGTTTAAACAATCTCTCTCTCTCTCTCTCTCTCTCTCTCTCTCTCTCTCTCTCCAAAAATGTTACTCGATGAAAGCTATATCATCCTTTACAGTTCATACTTTAATACGTATAATTATATTATTTGTAGCATATACATGTGCCAAAGTGTTTTACTATGGCTGGAAGGGTTAGAATGTCTACTTAAGTTGCTTTAATGATTTGTTTTGTAATTTATAAGATGGCCAATTTTCAAAGTCTTGAAACAGTAATTACTAGAATCTTACATCAGTATTGTTTGATGCATGTTATGATAGTGTGATCTCGGAAGTGTTTCCACAATGTTTGTTACAGAAAGTCAAATTATCTGTTTTTACCGACATGAAAATGTCCAGAATAGGTCAGTTATCTTGTTTCATGATAGTGAAACTTACCTTAAAGATCTTCATATTGTCTTACATTAAACGCATATATATTTATATCCCTATAAAGCAATTGGTTGTTTGTGTCCCATTTCTTTAAAGATTGCATTTTACTTCAGTCAAAATGCAAATGATGCAGGTAAATGTTCTTTTGGTATTATCTAAGTGAAGAAAATATGGTAATTATGGTTAAAATTTATTAGCTATTTTTTAGTTTGGAATGAAAAGGTTTTTTTTTTCCCCAAATAAAAATCAACAGCCAGGTCAATTTGTAATTATACAGTTTATTTCCAAGGAAGAAGGGTGAAGTGTTGTAAGATAGATGTAAGGTTGTGTTCAATTTTTACCTGAAAGGTCACATAAATCCAGCTATGTATACATTTTTCCATAACAAATTTAATGTCATATATGATATTATCTTTTTTTAATGCATTTGAAAAGATCTAGTCAAATAAGGCGCATATATCTACATAATTATCATTAAGTATATCATCTTTTTTCATAAATTTCATTATGGCTAGAAACTGCTTTTGCTCAATATGGTGCCAGTTGATAATGTTCATTAATATAAGTTTAAATAGGGTGAAAGCAATAAGAAATGAAGAGCACAGACTAGCAAAATAGCCTTGCTTAGCATTTATTTTCTTAGTAAAATTTCGGAATCCAAGCAAGTATCCAAATCATGAAACCAGATTGATAATTTTGTTGTACTGACAATCCAATGCTTATTACAATGTACAAATGTTCAAGTTTAACACTTCTTTTTACTCCTATAGATTGTTAATACATTGTATTATTATTTATGGTTTAACAGCTGTATAACTGAAGTTTAGAAATTAAATTGTAATTGTTTCAGTTAATTATTATGTACATGCATGTTACATAATTAACTGCTAAGTCTGTTTTCAAGAATTTGTTGGTGGTGTTTGAAATGAAAAATATGCAGATGCTTTCAAGAAGTGGTGTAATTTAAAAATGCATTTCATGTGAAGGTGGCAAGTAATAAAATATTAAGAAAAACAACATGCACTTAGTTATTACTCTTTCCATGCTGGAAAAAATCACAGTTCCCACAAAGACTGATTTTGTTGAGGGCCCAGAAGCATTTCCAGGGGCGGAATCGGGATTATTTGAAGGGGGAGGGGGTCTGAAGAGCCCCGAAAAATTTTGGTATTTTAGAGGAAGAACGGTTTAGAACTATTCCGCCAAAATTTATTGAAAACTCCCTAAGGTTTCGTATTTCTAACAGGTTTTGATTGTTAGCAAAAGTATTTCCCGAAACTAGACTGATTCATTGAGAACAAATTTTAAGGGTGAGGAGCACACCGTTCTGTGAAAAAAGAAAGAGAGAGGACCTCACTCTCACTGTTAGAAGAAGGGGAATACCGCGGGTAGATAAAATAAGCTCAAGTATAACACAAATTGAACTTCAGTGGAGAAAAGTTAGGTGTATACAGTGTAAGATATGCATGGTGCTCTGTATAGGTACCCGCCTTACCAAATTTAAGAAATTATCAAAGATATACTTAACTACAGTAACACCCCCATTTCCATAGATTTTTAGATCGATCTATCCCTGTGGGGAGTCTCAATAGATTACTGTCAGCTTGGCCGGCTTAAGCGTCTGCCCCGCCTACTAAAAGCTGAAAGGGGGTAATTAACTATGGTGTTCGCTCGGCTGACTGCAATTTAGCGTGAACCCCCAGGGAATTAGGTCGATCTAAATCTAAATCTCTGGATCGATCTAAATCTCTGGGAATGCAGTGTATCACCCCCCCCCCTCCCAAACCACCACACACGTACATATGCACGCCTTTAATCGCATCAGGGAATTATATCCGATATATAATTCCCTGATCGCAGTAGGGTCTATTACTAGTTTGTTGTGTATTTTATTTTTAATAAGGGGATAATTAAGTCAGGGAAGTGCAATATGTTTCCAATGCTCAAGCAGTAAAATAAGCTAGCTTACGCTCGACCTGCTTAAGAAATAGATATGTTAAGTAATAGGCCCTACATTGGAGAAAATTTTCCTAAAGTAGGCCTATCTTTTTAACGGGCCTATGTAACATCAACATCACTCCCTAAAAGCAAATTATCAAAAATATTTATATTTTCAAGCTATATTTCAATTGTACATATAACCTAGGACGTCCTTGATAAGAGTCACAAGGTTCTGGAGTGATTTTGCCATGCCAAATAAACGCGGTTGTAAACGTGGCTTTTTACGGCGCTTGTGGTTCTCATACACTGAATGCACTATACTGCAATCTTATGCAGTGACACCCGACCTCGATCCAGCTTTTGATTGGTCGCCGTCTTGTGGCCTCATATCATCTGAGAGGCAACATATACTGAATATAAAAGCATATTCCAACGAATTTATGACTCTAATATTATACTACTTGCTCTCAGATACACCCGGATCTTAACAGGTAAGTCGAAAAGACCGTCGAAAGTATTCTACTTAGTTATGGCTAGAAACGATATTCTGTATCTGAAACGAGCGCCGTTTGTTGAATTTCGATACGTCAGAATGGACTTTGTACCGGCCGGCTAAATTTAGCTCCCAAACAAAATATACACGTGGAGGGGGAGTAGTAGTGGTCTCTTGTTAATTTGATTCATTTTATTAGAGATATATATTCAATTCCTTATCGTTAGGAGTAAGTATTAGTCAGCTTTTTGTATCGTGGCTATTTGTTTTAAGTTTGTGATTTTTGCTATATGCCCAGGTGGCAAAATGAGCTTAAACTCTCTAGTTATTTTGACATAACACCATATACAAAATGTACGTGTCCCGCCGAATACTTCTCGAGACTGGGGAAAGTAACATCGTTTTAAGACAAAAGTATTACAGATCGATCCTCTAAAATTAGACTGATATTTGATGTTAACCTCCACCACTTCACAAACTGCGCATATGTGCGCATTAGAAGCTGCAGCTAATGTTTGTGGGTTTTGTACTTAAAACAGATGAATACGTTTTGTGAAAAAAGTTTAAGAAATGTCCGCATAATACATAGATGCATTCTGTTTCATGGGTGATAGATTTCTCTAGTAATTGTAAAAAAAGATTTACAAACTAACCTAAATGTATTGCAAGGCTTTTTAAAACAACTAGTACGGGAAGGATTAATATTTATAATTAATGGGGTTTAATTAATTGGTGTAAAAGATACACAGATCAGTTTCAGTTTCTATCTAGATTGTTGAGCAGCCATTCGGCAAGACGAGTTAGTAAGAAGTGATATTTTGCATATGAAATAGTAATAATAAAAAACACTGCTGTCGTTTCATTGGTCGCTTAAAATAGAACGTCAATAGTTGTGGTTTTGTGTATGGTATGTACAGAAGGTGGTGTGATGCATGGGGTGATTCTTTACTGCCACGTACTGCTGATGTCACCATGTTATTATGCTAATAAGGGCCTACAGGTAGTTCCTTTACCAGTATTACAATCTGTGAAATATTTACATAGCATTTGAAAGCAATTCCCAAGTGATATATTTTTAAAGTTCGTTTGGGTTACTATATAGATGCCTCATTGTTATAGTTTTAATTATTAAATGTTAGCAAGTTTTTTTTTTTTTTAATTTTGAAGGTCATTCAGTAATATCTGAATAGTTTATAAATATATAACCAATAAATACCCGTACTAGTATGCTCACTGAAATTAATTAACAAAGATTTGTTAGTGCTATTATTTTATGTATTTTATGTAGATCATATTTCTATACAATCAAGATAAAATTAATATATATAAATTATAAATGTTCATAGCATAAACTGATACAGAAATATTTCACTTTTTTAGAAGAGGTCTGCCTTAGTGATTTTTTTCTGTCAGGGTTTTAATTAAAAGACGTGGCATGTTTTAGCAGGGGGGAGATGTCTCCGTGATTTTATCATATGGTCGATTAAGTAATCATTCCATCAAAACTGGTATCATGACATTCATTATAATATTTCTTGCCCTCTGATCTAACTGCAAGACATTCAGGAGTACATGTGATTTTTTTTCTTTGTCAATAAATTACATTTGAATGTAATAGTGTGTGAAGGGTGTAATTTAGATGTTCCCATTGTTTGTTGCAGACAGCAGTTTAAAATATGAGTATATACACGGTAGATGGCACTTTAATGATAGGTTAACCTGGATATGCATCAGTTGTTCTAGCATGCTGGTAGAGTGCCGGGCTGCTAAAAATGTCTTGGTGAGACTTAGAGCAAAACTACACAAAAACACTCAGATGTCAGCTGTGCAAATCTTTTGAAATTTGCAGTTTTGTTCTTATTTAATTATCAATATTCATTTTCAGATATAATTTTGGAAGAAAGATGCCTGCCCATATTTTTGATGAGCCAGCTCCAACTGGTGAGACACGAGGGGCAGAGGATACACTGCCAGTAAAAATGGACACAAGAAATGACATTGTCATCAGTGGTCTCTCATGTAGATTGCCAGAATCCGAGAATGTTCAAGAATTTCGTGATAATCTAATGAATGGTGTGGACATGGTGACGGAAGATGACAGACGCTGGGAACCAGGTACAGTTAAATTTCACATAACAGATATATCAACAATAATGATATTACATTAATGAAGTATTAATTCATTATGGTGGAAATGTCAAAAAATTAACAACTACAAAATGGGTGTATAGATTGTTATTTTCTTAATATCAATTTTGGACAGGATTAGGTATTACTTAATTATACCATAATTGGTGATAAAAAATTTCCTGGAATCTTATTTTTTCTTCAAAATATATACCTCTAACATCCCTTGTGTGCCCTTAATATCAGGTCTCCATGGCTTACCCAGAAGAAATGGTAAACTAAAGGACCTCAGCAAATTTGACAGCACTTTCTTTGGTGTGAATCCTAAGCAGGCTAACACTATGGACCCACAGATGAGGCTATTACTGGAAGTCACATATGAGGCACTTGTTGATGCAGGTAAGAGCAGTTTTATATTGGATATAGGAATAGTTGCTGTACTGGCAGCCTATTTAAATGAAATGAATAATGTTTTTTTTTATTTTACAGAAGAAAATAAATAAATGATATTTAATTTATGCTTTTTATTATTTGATTATTGTCATCTTGAGAGACAAAATTAATGTGAAATGAGCTGAATCAACTGTATTAATCTCTCAGTTGTATTAAACTATGGCATTCTTTTTAAAAATTGAGTAATATAAGAATGTGTATGTTTATTTGTAATATATAACCATAATGACCTTGGCAGGTGTAAATCCTTCCACATTACAAGGCAGTAAGACCCGGGTGTATCTGGGAGCAAGTGGATCTGAGGCAGGGGTTGCCTGGTCCTACAACATGGACAAAACAGATGGAGACGTTCTTTTAGGGTGCCAAACCTCCATGTTTGCTCATCAAATTTCTAGTTTCTTTGATTTCAGAGGTTTGTTGCTAGCTAGGTCGGTGCCAAAGTGAATGGGGTCCATTTGTATTTGATATAGACACATATAATGTACATGACAGTACATGTGACTCAATTGTATGCAAAAAACTACTATGGTTTGGACTTTATATAACCAGATATATAAATCAATATTTTGCAAATTATGAAACATTAAAAGAAAACTCAGTACCAGTATGCATGGCATATTGAGTCTTTATACTGTTCCATGTAGGTTGTACACTGTATATTGTGCATGATAACCGTAGTCTACTAATACAACTGCACTGTGACGTGGTAGGGTGTGGCTGTATTACTTCAGTTAGCACTGTATGACATTACTACGCTAAAGGGGAACCATAGGGGGCACAGTGGGCCATATTATCCCTCTTCACCCCTTAACCTTGAAGTATGATAAATGAGACAAATTTAAGCACTTTTAGTATCCCCATTTACTATTTTATATTTGCAAAGCAAATTGATGCAAAAATTTACCTATGTGCCCCCCCCCCTCCAGCACATCCTGGGTCCGCCAGTATACTATACACTATGTACTATACACTGT